GGGGTGCCCAGAGCTGGGGGTCTGGGGGGGTCTGTGGAGCGGGGGTGATTTAGGGCGGGGGGCTCATTGCGTGCCTGGGGGTCGGGGCTCGGGATGTGTGGGTGCGGGGCTTTGGGGGTGGGGGGCCGTGACTCAGCCCCCCCCATCCCACAGGGCTCTGTTCACCTATGAAGGCAACAGCAACGACCTGCGCGTGGCCGGCAGCGGGGGTGAGCAGGGCGCCCAGCGCGGAGTGCCTGCCTTGGAAATGGGGAAGCGGTGCCGGCCCGGCCCGCCCCCTCCGCCCCATAACTCCTTTCGGTTGCCGCTCGGGAGGTTGAAGCCCCGTTCCTGCTGTGTGGGGGGGTCTGGCTTTGGGGCTGGCCGTTGTGACACCGCCGCCTTCCGCTTTGGGGACGTTTATGGGGAACGGTTTGGGGGTGTGAGCGCGTTCTTGTGGGTTTCCTCATTGCTGAGTGGTTCCCATGCGCGCGGTGCTGGGGGGAGGCTGGCGATTGTGGGCACCCCCCGGTGCCACCCGCGCTCCCTGCGGCCCTGGGGACACTGAGGGGTGGCCAGGACGTGGCCAATGCCCCTGGCCCAGCCCTGCTCCTGTCCCGGTACAGAGGGCGGCCTGGAGGAGATGGTGGAGGAGCTGAACAGCGGCAAGGTGATGTACGCCTTCTGCAGGGTGAAGGACCCCAACTCCGGCCTGCCCAAATACGTCCTCGTCAACTGGGTGAGCTGGGATGGGGACGTGTGGGACATCCCAAATCAAAGGGGTGGAAAGGAGCCGCTGGGGTGGGGCTCATGGTGCCATTGCTCTTCCACTGCTCTTCCATTCCATTGGTTCTGCATCGTTCTTCCATTGCTCATTCCATTGCTCCTCTGCTGGTTTGCCACTGCTTCTCCACGCAGACGGGTGAAGGCGTCAATGATGTGCGGAAAGGAGCCTGTGCCAACCACGTCAGCACCGTTGCCAGCTTCCTGAAGGTTTGCTTGGCTCCTGCTGTCTCCATTCTGTCCCCTGTGGAAGCCGATTCGGTGCTACCCCGAGCCCAATGTCCCCATGCAGGGTGCCCACGTCACCATCAACGCTCGAGCAGAGGAGGATGTGGAGCCCGAGCTCATCATGCAGAAGGTGGCCAAGGCCTCGGGGGCCAACTACAGCTTCCACAAAGAGAGCAGCCGCTTCCAGGACGCCGGGCCACAAGGCCCTGTGGTGGGTCTGGGGCTGGGGTGACGTCACCGAGTACGGGGAGATGGTTTGATGCTGGTGTTGGGGGTCCCACGGGGTGGGACTGCGGTGCCCTTTGCTGTTGGGTGGGTCCTATGGGGGCGGATTCCTGTCCAGCAGAACCTACAGGGAGGTAGAAACAAGATGGAGAACAACTTTTTGTGTGGTCAGATGGAGTGGGGATGCGGGGAATGATGGGCTGTGGGGTCCCTTCCACCCCTACCGAAGGCAGCACAAAGCAGTGGGGTCAGCGTGTTTCTGAAGGGGGATGCAGAAGTCATTTGTGCAGCACTGCTCTGAGCCCTCCGCTGCCTGCCCTGCGCAGGGCTCCGTCTACCAGAAAACCAACGCCATGTCTGAAATCAAGCGGGTCAACAAGGACCACTTCTGGGCCAAAGCCGAGGTGAGGGCTGCAGAGCAGCACTGCGGGCCGCGTGGCGGAGCACGGCGGGGCTGAGGCGGTGCCTACATCCAACAGAAGGACGAGGAGAACCGGCGCCTGGAGGAGAAGCGGCGCGCGGAGGAGGAGCGGCAGCGGCTGGAGCGTGAGCGGCGTGAGAGGGAGCTGCAGGAGGCAGCGGGGAGGGAGCAGAGGTTCCAGGCACGCTCCAGCCAGATCGAGGCCCAGAAGTGAGTCCTGAGCACCTCCAGCCCCTTGCCATCCCTGGCCACCCCTTCTCTCCCCTTTGTCACCCCCCCCCCCCGTCTCCCTGCAGGAGGCTGCAGCAGGAGGCAGAGAGGCGGGAGCAGCAGCAGTGGGTGAGCCTCGTGCCGTCCCTGGGGCTTTTGGGGTGCAGATGTCCCCTTTGCTCACCCCCCGCTTTGGGGTCTGCGCGGTGGGGCTGTCACTGTCCCCTCTGGTGCCACAGAAGGAGCAGCAGACAGAGGAGCGTGAGGCCGGGCAGCGCCGCATGCGGAGGAGCGAATCAGTGGAGAAAGCCCAGGTGAGACCACAGCCCCACAGCTGGGGGTTGCCCCACTGGACCCCCCCCCGAGCCCCACTCCACTCGCAGGAGGCAGCGTCACTGATTGCGCAGCGCCCCGGGAACCCACGGGACATCTTTGTGCAGAGGGAGCGGGCGGCACCTGGGGACACTGCAGCCACTGCACAGCCAGGTGAGGGTCCTGGGGGGCAGGGGGATGTGGGTGCCCAGTCGCAGCCAGGGGAGGGTTTGCAGGCGGTGACCCCATGGGCGCTCAGCTTGGTGCTATTCCCATCCCACTGCTTTGCGGGGGTGCGCTGCAGCGTGGTGGGAATGCTGCTGGAGCACCAGGATTGGACTGGGGGCAAGCAGTGCCCCGTGGGGGCTGACAGCTTTCTGGGGGGTTTCCAAAGAGAGGAAGGAGGGCAGTGCCCAAAACCACCCCTGGCTGCAGGCAAGGCCCCGCCTCAGCCCCCATTCTCTGTTTCAGGCAAGCTGCGCAGCCCCTTCCTGCAGCGGGAGCAGGACGCCGTGCCGGCCCCCGCCCCCCCCCTCCCGGACCCATCCCCGGTGCCGGCCGCAGGTGTGTGGGCTGCCCTCCCCGCCCCCCGGTGCCACGCTTCCTGGTCCCGTTTGGAACCCAGTCTCATGGAGATCTGCATCCCACCTGGACGTGGTGCTGGGTGGGAGCAGAGGGACCCGGAGGTGCCCACAACCTCGCTGTGACTTTGTGACCCCTTGGCGCCCCCCCCTCCCCTCCCGGTTCGGTGCCGTGGGGCTGCACTCGCCGCTAGGTGCTGCTGTCGGCCAAGCTCCAGTGCAGCCCTTCCCACCAGCTTCTCTCCGTGGTGTTTTAGGCAATGACTCACGTTGAGCACCAGCTCCCCCCCTTTCCCCTCCCCTCCCCAAATGAGAAGCACCGCTCGGGGCTCCGTGACCCCCGCTGTGGGGGGAGCGCTATGGCTGAGCTGCCGCCGTTCCCCCGCAGGGCACAGCGTGAGCCCGATGGGCAGCCACCCGGATGGGGAGAACGTGTACGAGGATGCAGCTGACGGCGCAGCCATCTACGAGGAACCCCCTCAGGTTGGGCTCTGCCTCTGCTTTCAGGGTCCGGCTTTATGGGGCTGCATCCCCTCTGGGCGCCTCTGCTGCCCTCGGCCCACACTGGGTTTGCTGCACGCCCCTCAATGCCCCCCGTTCCCTTCCCAGGACCACGACGATGGAGCTCAGTACCAGTACCCAGCTGGGTACCAGCAGGAGCCCGAGCTGGCGGGGAAGGGGCTGTGTGCCCGAGCGCTCTACGACTACCAGGCGGGTACGGGGGGGGTCCCTGAAATGGGGGAATTTTCTCTGAAATAAGGGGGGTGGCCCCTCTGAACCTGGGGAGGTTCCTCCCAGGATAGCAGCGCTGCCCCAGAATTGGGGGGTTGCCCCCAAAATAAGGAGGGTGTCCTTTGAAACGGGGGGCGTTCCTTCAAAATGGAGGGTTGCTTCTGAAAGGAGCAGAGGGGGCTCCTATGGACGAGGGGGGTTCCTCCAAAATTGAGGTGGTTCTGCTGAGGGAGGTCCTCTGAAATGGGAGGAGGTCCTCAAAAGAGGGGATTTCTTCTGAAATAGAAATGAGGGGGTGAGGGGGGAGATCCTCCAGAGCTGGGGAAAGCCCTCTCAAATAGGGGAGGTTCCCCCAAAAGGTTCCTCCAGTAAGAGGAGGGGTCCCTGTGAAATGGGGTGACCTTCAGAACGAGGGGGTCCCTCTGAAATGGAATTCTTCAGAGGAGGGAGGGGGGTCCTCTGAAATGAGGGAGGGTCCTCTGAAACTGGAGGGGAGGCTCTGAAATAGGGCAGGTTCCCCCAGGACGGGGGTGTGGGATCCTCTAGAAAGAGGAGAGAGCGCTCCTAAATGGAAGGGGTCTCTCCGAGATGGAGGGGGTGCTGCCAGAATGGGGGGCCCGGGGGTTCCCCTGCTTTGTCCCACACCCCCCTTTTCCCCCCTCCCAGCCGATGACACCGAGATCTCCTTTGACCCCGAGAACATCATCACCAACATCGAGATGATCGACGAGGGATGGTGGCGGGGCTACGGCCCCGACGGCCACTTTGGGATGTTCCCTGCCAACTACGTGGAGCTGCTCGAGTGAGGGCAGCGGGGCGGGCAGTGCCCAGACCCCCCACCACCACCGGTTCTTCCAAGCAGCGCCAGCTTCCTGCCTTCCTCCCCCCTCCCCCAGCACCGTGCTGTGCCCCCTGAGCCCCCCGCACTCTCTGGGGGGCGATGGCAGCACCCCTCCGTGACCCCCCTGCCCCCCTCAAGCTGTGGGCGCTGCCTGCCCCATTCACTGTGAAGGAGGAAGAGTGCGGTGCGGCGGCGGCCTTCCTCCCCCCCGGTTTGCTTTGGGATCAAGGACGCGGCGGCTGTTGGCCGCGGGTCAATAAAAGGGCTTTCTTTGGTGTCAGGACCCTGTGGGGCGCCCTCCTCCCTGTGCCCCGCCTGCAGCCCGTGGCTGAGGGTTGTTCTGCACCACTGGTGGCATTTCGGTGCAGCGCTGGCACGGAGAGCGGCTTTCTAACAGCGCTAATGAGGAACCCTTAATTAAGAGGAAGCTGAGCAGGATGTGTTCTGCAATGGATCAGAAACCGCAGGCTTGGGGGCATTGTTGGGGAGGAATGGGATCAGCACAGGCAGGGTGGGCGGCACCAGGGGGGCTCAGGCTGCAGTGCCCCACTGCCTCCTGGTCACCTCAGCACCCACAGGTGCTGCTGGGCCACCTTGCCCCATGGCTGCCGTCTGCCCCCTGCTGTCCCCAGCCCCACATCCTTCATTCCAGCGCTGCAGTGTGGCACAGGGTGCACATCGTGCCTTTATTTGTGTGCTGTGAGGATGGCACGGCGCTGACGGCGGGGATGTGGCACGGCAGCGTGGGCTTGGGGATGGCATGTGGTGGGGCATGGGGATGGCACTGAGAAGGGGTGGCATGGAATGGGGGTGGAGAGGGAGGTGGCATGGGGATGGCATGGCCATGCAGGTGGCATGGATGTGGCGAGGGAAATGGTGCAGGCTCAGAGATGGGAGGCACAGGGGCAGCATGGGAGCAGCATGGGCATGGAGATGGATCCAGGAAAGATGGGTGTGGGGATGGCGTGGCCTCCAGGATGGGTTGGCACTGGGATGGGATGCCAGAGAAATGGGGCTGGAGGTGGCAGCGGGGTGCCGTGGGGATGGAGACAGAGATGGCATGGGGGTGGAATGGCCTTGTAGATGGCAGGGGCTTAAAGAGAGGAGTGGGGATGGCATGACCTCGGACACAGTGAGGGTGGGCTGATGGTGCAGGGCTGGGTTGGGCTTGGAGCTGGCACAGGGCTGGAGGTGTGGGGAATACGGTGGGCGTGAGAGTGGGGTCACAGCCCGTCCCTATGCCACCCTGTGCCCACGGCGCCGCCTCACTTCCAACCGCTGAAGAACTGCTTGAAGAGCGGCGTCTCGCGGCCCTGCGGCAGGATTTCCACCTGCGGGGCGGCGATGGGGATGCAATGGGGATGGGGGGTCGTGGCCCGTGCCCCCCAGGCCACCTCCACCCACCTGTGTGTGGGGCGAGTAGCCCATGCGGGCGATGGTCTGCTCGGCCACGCTGAGGGCCGCCTGCCGCTCCTGCTCGTTGGCTTTGCGCCCTGCGGATGGGGACGTCAGTGCTGCACGGGGGGGTGGCCCTGTCCCCTGCCCCATCCCCGGTCACCTTTCCACACGTAGATCTTCCCCCCGGCGCCCGTGTCCAGCACGAAGCAGTCGTCAGGGCACAGCAGGCTCTGGTTGAAGGGGCAGCTCCGGGCCACTTCGCTCAGGTCCATGCGCCCCGTTGCGTCCGACACCTGGGGTGGTCATTGTGTCACCCCCACCCCACAGCCAGCACCGGCCCTTTGTCCCTGCTGCGACCGCCTCGCTGTCCCTCGGCCTTGCCCAGCCCCATGGCCAGCACAGCCCAAAGGATCCTACAGTCACCTATGTTGGGAACGACCTTCACATCACCAAGTCCAACCGCCAACCTGACCCTCAGTGCTGTGTCCACACATCCCTTATGTACCCACAGCAAAGCCCTGGGCATCCCAGGCCAGGCTGGACGGAGCTTTGGTCAACCTGACCCACTGCAGGGCAACCAGCCCACAGCACAGGGGTCCCTGAGCCCTGCCCAGCCCCACGCATCCCTCGTGCCTTGCCTTGTAGAGAACGGCCATCCCTGCCTTCCGATCGGCCGCCGCGTCCTCCTCAGGGCTGCTCTCCATCAAGGTGGGCTTTGGGCCCAGCACCTGCAGCATCTCGGGGGGCTCCTCGCCGTCCAGCACCGTCTCCAGGCGCGCTTTGCCGCCCCGCTCGCTGTCACGGATGGCTGCAGCCAGCTCCTGAGCCCGGCTGCGCTCCAGGACGTTGCTCTGCGCCCCGCACCACGTGAAGATGGCCTGGGGACAGGGATGGCAACGTGTGTCCAAGGCCACCCGAAGGGACGTGTGCCCGGATGGATGGATGGATGGATGCACAGCCGGAGGGACAGGCAGGCATTGCAACAGATGGACACCCAAAAAGATGGGTGAAGACCTCTGTGGAAGGACAGACAGACACCCAGAAGGACCGCTAGACACACAGAAAGCCTAACAATCCTATGGGCTCATGGCTGTTTTGACAGACAGATACCCCAACAGAGGGACATCCAGAAGGACAGACAGACATCCCGGTAAATGGACTCCCAAACGGACAGGCGGACATGTGGGAAAACAGTCAGACGCTGTTCTGGACAGATGGATGCTTTGACAGACGGACGCCCCAACAGAGGGACACACAGAAAGGCAGGTGAAGAACCCAACAGAGCAATACTCAGAACAGACACCCAGGAGAGCTGAACACCCAGATGGACAGCCAGACACCCCTATGGACACATGGACGCCTGACAGACAGACAGACGCCCCAACAGATGAACAGCCAGCAGGACAGCCAGCCTGCCTATAGATGGAGAGCCGCCCTGACGACCATAAGGACACCCAACGGACGGATGGACACCCAGATGGACGCACTGCACTTCCTGCACCATGCAGAAGGACCTGGGGGACAGGGAGAGGACGGCAGCGCCGCGGCCACGCACCTCTCCCAGGTCCAGGATGAAGCAGTCGCCGGTGTTGAAGCTGGCCCAGCTCAGGTCCCGCTCTGCGGCCCGGATGTTCCTGCGGCCCTTCACCTGGTACAGCCGGCGCACGGGGCCAGCGCTGCGCTGCGCCACCTTGAAGGCCGAGTCCACGCCGCCCTCCTGCCGGCACGGCGTTCTGAGCGCCCAGCACGGACACCGACCCACTGCCGGCACCCGCCGGCCCCACCAGGGCTACCAGAGATCCCCTCGGTGGCGCCCAGCTCCCATCAGGGCCACCCGACAGCCCGCTGGCGATGCCCGGTGCCCTTCAGGGTTACCCGAGAGCCCACGGGCGACGCTCATTGCTGAGCGGTGATGCCCAGCCCCACACCTGGTAGGTGATGCCGCGGGGGAAGTAGCCCATGAACTCATCGGACTCGTGGCCCTGTGCCTCGCGGTGGGTGACGGGCCGCTCGCCCAGCAGCGCGTTCAGCTGGGTGCTCAGCAGGGCGCAGCCGCCCCGCTCGTCCTGCGACGCCTCCCGGCCTGTGGTGGGCGACGACGGCTCAGCCGGACCCCCGCGTCCCCCCGCCGCCCCGTCGCCCCATTGCTCACCGATCCAGAGGTGCAGGTGGGCTCGCTCCTCGGACCCCAGGTGCAGCACCAGGTAGGCGTCCCCGGAAAAGAAGACGCCCCACGAGCTCTCGGGGACCGGCACCGGGCGCAGCTTCTCCACGCGCCAGATGTGCAGCCCAGGGCGGGTGGGCGCGGGGCCGAAGGGGGAACCGCTGCGGGGAGAGGGGCGTTGGTGAGGGGTCTTTGGGGTTATGGGGTGGGGGGAGGGTTTGGAGGGTGGGGGACCTTTTGGGGAGGGCCGTGTACATGGCGTCGGGAAGGTGGTGGACGGATGGACAGACAGTTGGGGAGACAGGTTGGCACCCCAAGAGGGAGATGGATGCCCTGATGGACAGAAGGACAGACAGAAGTGTGGTCAGACCCTCACCACAGACACCCTATGGACAGATGGATGCCCCCACAGACAGATGGACACCATCCCCCAACAGACCCCCCAATGGACAGATGGATGCCCCCAGCAGACAGATGGACACAACCCCCACCGCAGACGCTCTGACGGACAGACAGACACCCCTGTGAGCCACACAGACGGACGGACACCTGGACAAACACAGAAGGAGAAGGAGAGGCAGAACACCCTGATGGACAGACAGGAGGACACCCGGACGGACACCCAGACAAACAGGCGGACGCCCCAACAGCCGCGGGACACCCGGAAGCAGCAGTCAGATGCCGCTGACTCAAGCAGGAAAGGGTGCGGACGCCGGGAGGGGCTGGGGGGGCGGGTCTGGCCCTGCGCGTCCCCCCGCCCTGCGCGCGTGGCCACGGGGGGCTGCTGGCATGAGACCCCCAGCCGGGAGTCGGTGCGGCACGGGGTTCCTGGGGGTCCCGGAGCCCTGCTGGCGGGGGCGCTATGGGGACGCACCGGGGGGGGGGGCTGTGCTGCGAATTCTAAT